GTGTTGGGGACGGGAACTAAGGGGGTTTCATACCATAAAATGCTTTTAAGATCAAGATATTAATTGTTCATTGTGTAGCACTGGTATGTTCTAGTACTGGCAATATGTTAACATTTTTCTTTGTGTCTAAATCCAATGACCATACCAGAATACAAATAGTTTGAGTACTTAGTTGCAGTTTTTTTTTAATGTAATATGTAACATTATGCAAAAACAAAATGAAAAACTTGACCCTTGAGTCTGTTGACTGGTGTAATACTATTATCCGTATTACTGTCAATGACAAACATGTTTTCATGCAGTAGCATTTGCATGTGTGCCAATTACTGTAGCCTCTGTGAGGATGATTGTACATTGTGATGATGTAGGATTACAATGCAATTATGAATGTTGTGGATGTTTGATCAGAAAGCTGGCTCCATGCATGAAGTATCTTTTTTGTGTAACTATAATGTATAACTTAGTTATTTGTAAGTATAAATAATTTGGTGATCTCATTAATGAACAAAACTTGCATAAACCTGGAAGTATTTTCAGTAAAATGATTGATTCATAAATATGTCATGTTGTCACATTAATTAAAGGATTTCAATACTTTTGATAAAGATTAACTTAATATGCACAGTTTCAAAGCACTTGTGAAAATGATATAATGTGCTCTGGATCAGTGGATCATTTTGTTAACGTGTGTAGATTGTTTTATAGATATCAGGAGTATGAGTTTACTGCAGTGTGCAATTAGTGTATGAAAGTTTTGCACATTTTGTGCATGTACACATATCGTGAAATATTGCTTTAATAAATATTTAACATTTAAGAAGTATACTTGTTAAAAACATTTCATTTTACAAAACAACATGTTCCTTCAGTGTATTTTAAGTTGAAACGTAATAATTATAAATGTTAAAATCTGTAATGTTTATTCTGAAATAATGTTTTTGTAATTGAAATTTAAAAGTATGGTCAGTATGCACTGTCATTAATAAATGGATGATCTGCCTTTATTGCGCATGTTCTTATAAATATTTAAGTTATTCAAGAACAGCATGACCGATCACATTGAAACTTTGAAAGATAACATTTAAGCAAACTGTAACTCTTAATATACAGTGGATTTATTGAACAACACATGAATAATTTTTGGCAGTTTCACATTTCATTGTAGCATAGATCAAATATTCAGGGAATAACATAGTTTGTTTATAAAAAAGGTCTGAGAAAAGCAAGGGAATGTCATTCTGCCAAGGTATGGAAACCATGTGAACTGGTCAATATATAAATTTCTGTTCATATCATTCATTCTAAGCTAAACATACAAGTCAAGTAACTAATATCCAAACCACTGATAAAGAATATTAACTACAGTATACAGTAGGTGACTTGTGGTCACCTGTGATGTTTTCTATCACTTAAAAGTAAATATGGGAAACACGGTGAATATCTAATATGGAAGTAAAGTTGCATATAATTAAGATTTGATAAGAATAATATCAAGTTAAAATATTTTTTTGGGTATAATAATACCTTCTTGAGTGTAGAGTGTAATGGAATATAAGTTTATATAAATAAAACTATGTTTTAATGTATCTTTTTATTTGTAGGGTTAGTTAACTTAAGTTTGTATATCTTTCGTTTTTCCTTTCTTCCTCATGTATGTAGAGGAATCTCAAAGATAAACTAATTTTGAGAATCATCAAATATATTTTTTTTTATCAGTTCCAAATTATCACAGAAATTTAATTAATGTGTTTGTCGTGTGTTTTTCAAAAGTAATAATTCATGAATATAACTTGTGACAACAGAAAAAGTTGTTTGTTAGAACTGTTGAAGGGCATATCTTTGGGATGAACAGAAGAGAATAAATGAGAAAGTACAAGAAATAGAAAAGATACCAAGTTGTCTTCTCTGTGCATATATTATAAAGACAGTTCATCTAACAGTCTTAAATTTTCATGTTCTTTGACAATCTTTTTAAGAAATTTTCTTCTTATTAGTTATCAGGTGTTCCCTTACACTCTTTCAATAAATCTATACCATTCATATCAAAGTTTCAGTCAGTTTGGTATTCAGTTTCATAGGCTTCTTGTTTATGCAAATGTCTTCTCATACATTTCCAAGTTTTCTTGCTGATTTTTCTTTTCCAAAGTGGTTTTGCTTTATATTGAATCAATGCATTAGTTTCTTTCTCAGCTTAACATAGTTTTTAATATCAACTGAGGACATGAAAAACTTAGGAAAATAGCAATTCAGAGATGCTACCACTAAGAGCTGTTACCTCATGTGCAACTGCTGTGGAATTTCCTATGCATGCCACAAGCCTTTATCAAACTCCCATGCCCACATGTGTTTACGTGTACTGTACTCCCTATGACATAATAGTCATATTGCTGGAGCCTTCCACCAGTAGAAGGCCAACATGACCTCCATGCATGGTAATCCCTGTGAGCATTAGCACATGATCATAGGCTCATTCTTTCTTTGGCACTGCCTAAGTTCAGATGTGGTATTTTGTTTTAGTTTATAGTTGACATAATTGACTGCCTTTCTTTCTTTAATGCTACATTGCTATTATTCTTATTGCACTTTTGTTCCATCCACCTGGTTGCAACTTCATTTTTCTCTAGCTATCACATTTCTACTTGAGGCTTATTTTAATAATGTATGCCATGTAAAATGGTAAAAAAGTCCTGCGGTCTAGACATTCCTTTTCAGGCAACTGATAGCTGAAGACATTTTATCTGTTTATGAATCTGATATTCAATTGTTATTCCTTTAGCTTACTTAGTAGAGCAGACTCCTACATGTGACAGGTTTCAAATTTCACTCTGTGGTGAGGTATTTTTGACCTTATTGAGCTGTGATGAACCATGGTGTACCAACAAGTTCACTGAAGGTATTCCCACTTTCATGCATCAGGTGTTTCATTCTCTTCTGCCTCTTTCTTCTCTATTTCAAGTCCCTAATCATATTGTTTTTTTACTTTCTCTGTGAAGCATACCTCACTTTTAGATGATTTTAGACAGATTTTTCACCTCTGGCCGTTGTTTCTGGCTCTTTGCTCTCTGATGAGGACCAGGTACTTCCTTCTTTTGTGTTTGCTGTGCTCATGAATTGGTATGTGATATTCTACCTTTTATACCTGTCTATCATACTGTCTTTTTAGTTACTTTGCTTCATGTTCTTCTTAGTCCCCACCCTACATTGGCCCACATTGTTCTTGTCCTATTCATTTTTGTGATTCCTTTTGTATGGCCTCAGGTCATGGTCCTTTTATATTTTTGAACCCCGACCTCTTGTGTTATTTCTTTTTGATTGGGGGTACTCCTCTTCCTTCTTCCTTGTCTTTCTTTCCAGCTACATGTTCATTTTTGTCTATCTTTGCTCTTCTCCTTTACTCTATCTCTGCCCTTCACCTTCTTGCTGAGGCTTTTCCTTATGATCCTAATAGTTTTGGTAGGGACAGTTATGGTTTCCATTTCATCCTCTCCTATCTCTATTTTGATCTGGTTTCTTTCTTTGTGGGATCTTCTCAGTCGGATGTCCATATCCCTTCCTCTTATATCCAGGACCTTCATCATGCCCATTTGCTTAGAGACATGGTATTTTGAGGTATTCCCAATTGCTTAAAATCCTTGCTCAGGCTGCTCGCTTTCAATATTTTATTGTTTTCTTGATTTTCTGATTCATTAGTCCACTTTCTGCCATTCATCCTCAGAAGTCATGTTGGGCTATCCCTCTTTTGTTACTCGCTTTCTTGCTTTGGTTTGCCATTTTCCCTCCTGAATGGGTAGCCACCGTAGCTCTTGGTGGTAACTCTTCTTTGTAACTGATCCTAGGGTCTGGTTCCATTAAGTGATAAGTTCCAAGTTATTTGATCTCTTAATTTTTTTCCTTGGATGTTTATGAGCAGTATAATTATTAGAACCTTAAATTACTGATAGTGATAGTGTTGCATTGAGTCTGTTCACATGATTTCTTTTGTCATTGTTCAATCTTGTTTGTTAATATTTTCTGTTTGAACTATTTAGTAACATAATACTTGCGACACTAATCTTCCTCAACTGGGCAACTTTTGTGTTTTTTTGAGCCTTTGCTCTGTTAATACCTCCCACCCCCACTCCACAAGAAGATACAGTTCATAGTTTACTGGGTTTCATTGTAAAAATAAATTGTAATATTTATTGGATACACTTTAATTTCATGCTCAGACATATATTTTTTATGAGAACTTTTATGACTTAACTGGGTTGGCCTTGCTCTTCTGATGGCTATTTCATTTAAACATTTAGTGACAGTTGCTCGAATCTTGTTTGTGTATTTGTGTGCATATTTTTTTGTATGACATATAGTGAGTTTGCACCTCTTATGGGGTGAGGCAAGCTTCTCACTTTATGTTTTGTACGTTAAGGCTTTTGGGAGTTTTTCGATTGTCTTGCAATTTTAGAATTTCCAAGAATTAAACATAGAGGAAATAGAGATGTTTTATTCTATATATCACATCAGGAGTCACATACACTTAAAAAAGAAAATTAGTCTTTTGGGTTATTAATGAAAGCTCTTTCAGCTATTTCTCTCTCAGAAAGAAAGCATATATCCAAAAGTAAGGTGTTGCATAGACCATATTTTATAGCTGTGTAGTGAATTAGGTCAGATGTGAGTGTATGTGTTAATGAATATTTGTTTTTGAAACCTTCAAATTCAGTATAAATTTTTTTTTACTATGCATTGCAGTATTTCTGTTGCAATGTTGGAACAGTAGTTTCATACTTTTTAATTCAGTGTAATGAATTTGCATGTTCTTTTACTGTATCTCCCTCGGGTGGAAAAAAACACAACAACAGTGATATATAATGATGATTTTTTTATCAGAAAGCAAAATATTTCTTTTCTGTTCCAAACTATTTATAATACATGGTTTTAAGAATGATCTTGGAAATTCTTCCAAAAAACATTTAGATATGGTGAAATAATTTATTGTACTTGCTGGTGTGTGTGTTTAGAGTGAACCACCTGCACCTCCTCCAGATGAAGAAACTAAGGAGAACAAAAAAGAGAAGAAAAAGAAGCGTCGTCGTAAAAGACACAGAGGAAAGAAGCGTACCAGTTATAACCCATGGGATGTTTCTTCAGAGTCTACATCAAGTAGTGAAGAAGAAGAATTTCATGTAGCAGAAGAGGAAGAAGAAGAAGATGAGGAAGAACTCAAGTTTGATGAAAATTATGATGAGTTTGCTTGTGAAGAATATGATGAGAATGAAGAACCAGTCATTGTAAAAAGAGCTCGAACTGCTAAGAAAGGTAACTTAACATTTATTGCACCATTTTCTATTTTTAGTTGTCATATACTGGGGTAGTTATTATGGCTTTATATAAATAATTACAAGATTTTATTCTATTAACTATTTAATCCACCTTTAATTGAAACTGTGTTCTGTCCATTTTCAGGATACTGACCCTGTTTGAGCAGTTGTCCCACTAAAACGTATTTTTTGTTGTTTTTTACATTCAAGATGAATAATTTTCTTATATTTCTACTGTATTATCTTCCAGTTCAACATTATTTTGGCTGTTCAGAGTTTGGATATGTTAACATTTGTGATTTTTCCATGCTATTATTTGGCACGAGATACTGCAACTTTAAAGTAAAATTCTTCTTTTTGTGTGTAAATATATGAAATGATGAAACAGTACATCTGTTTTGGACTGCACGTCACCCTTTGGACAGTTTCATTTTAAATCATTTCGTGTGGTAAGTTATATTTTACCACTTATTATATAATTATTAACTGCTTTTGATTCCTCTGCTCAACCTTTGAATGTTAAGCATCCCAACTGTAACTATAGCACAGTGATGTAGCCCATCTGAGTTAACACCTCACCCCCCTCTTTGTTTAAGACCAAATCTGAATGGTTAAATGTTTTTTTAGAATATTTACCACATAGTAAATGTATAAGACACTCAGATAGAAAGGATAAAAGAAACTAAATTAGGTAATTACTATTACATTTAACAGTATAATATTACACTAATGTTTAGTTTTAAATGCATTTGTATGGAATATTTATTTGATTAATATCAGCCAATAATGTCTTTGATAATTAAATTTTGATGGTTGAAAAGTCCATAGATTTTATTTACTATGTCCTGTATGAATCTTAGACTTACAAAGATCTTTGTTTATAGATTTGTTATTAGGTGTAGATGCATAAAGTTTGCTGTATGTCTTGAAAATCAAAATACTATCCTTTACCACTAATTTGACTTGACTAATGTAACTGGTTAATGAAAGTAGAACCCTATCAGAAATGTAAACTTTAAAAAAATGAATAAATGAAACTTGTCTGTTTATCTGACAGTTCATTCTGACAATGAAAGTAATAGTAGCAGTGAAATGGAAGGTGATGATAAACCTTGTGGTCGCTGTGGTCAAAAAGATCACCCAGAATGGGTAGGTAATGATTAGGTAAAACCAAAAGAGGTTGTTCTTTTTTTAAACCCCAAAACTAAATATTTAAGAGCTAAACGTTATGATTTTTTTTTACATCCACTCATTAACATGATGATAATATTTTAATTAATTTTGATTGGAACAAAAAATGTTTTGTATAATTTACTAAAAGTTGGCTTAAATTTCTCTATTTTGTAAAAATGCTCATCATTTTTAGTAAAACCTTTTTAGGAGTACATAGGTGCAACGATTAATGGTTTACAATTGTAAATGGCTGAGAATATATCTGTTTAGAAAAAATGATGTGACTGTAATTGGAGTATACAAAATTTCTTGAATATTAAATTACTAATTGATATATCATTTTTATTTTCACAACGTTTTTTTATTATTTTATTTATGATTTTGGGGTCTGCATATTCCCTTTAGTTCAAGCTTTCAGTGTTGGTTAAGGTTTTATCAACAGAATTAAACATTATACCAGATAAGTAATTTCCAAACCCTGTTAAATGGGGTTGCCAGCATTGAGAGTTGTTGATCCAGCATTGCAATGGAAGGGAAAGCCATAAAAGTTAAAACATAATAAGATATATCTGTAGATTAGAGTATAAGCTGTTATAAATGGTTTGTGTTATAACCTCTGAAACTGCAAAGAAGATATGAATGTAGCTTTCCAGCATGTTCAAATATATATTATTTATTCTGCTTATATTATGCAATAAATTATAAAATAAATGTATATTTTTTACAAGACCAAGTATCATTATTATTATTCTTTCTTGATTTTCCCCCTTGGGTGTTATGTAACTGATGTTATATTCCAGATTTTGCTATGTGACAAGTGTGATTCGGGTTATCATACAGCATGCCTTAATCCTCCATTGATGATTGTTCCTGATGGCAACTGGTACTGCCCACCTTGTGAACATGTGAGTGTAGATGTCTGATTTTGTGTTTTATAACTTGTCATATATACTCTATAAATAAAAGTTAATTGTGATGAAAATGTGTAAGAAAATCTTAGTCAGGGCTTCAGTGTTTGAGCCACAGTTAGATTAAATTTTCATACAAGTTTATTAGTATTATAAACAGTAAAAAAGCTTCTCAGAAGAGAACTTAACTTGCAAGTGGCTAAGTGAAAGATACCTTTTTTAGTTAATTTTTCAAGACAGTTTGTTTATGCATTGAATATTTTACAGTTGGGTGATTGAAATACATATGATCTGCATGATCAAAGATTTTTAAGTAATTATGTTGATACTCTTACTTAATACTTTACGAGTTGCTATAAATATATATTTGTTCTGTAGCTTGATTAGGAGAACAGATGAAATTTAGTAGTTAGTGTGATATAAAGAGTAAAACTGCACCATTTCAGGAATTAAATATATGATTTTGTGCAGTGTATTTTTACTGTGGAAATGGCATTGTTGCATTGTGCCAACCCCCTATTTCTGTGAAGCTTTGAATAGCAGTGTTTATTATAGTTCCAAATTTACTAAGTGTTTCTTCACAAAATGTGCTAAGAGCTTCTAGACAACATTACAAGTATGTTGTACACAAAAATTAAAAAATTGTTATTTGGTTTTTACAAATATTTATCTTTGCATTTATCAAGTGAGTCCGATTTAGACTCTGACTAGCGTGAGTGCAAAATAATTTTCATGTTAAGAATCAAAGTACTTTTTCATCTTACAGTTTGCATATTTCATTCACATAACCTCTAGAACATTCTAAATGAATATCAAAAGTTTTTTCAGTAACATTTTATACATTATTTCTTATTTTCTCTACCCTTATACTAACAATGGGGAAATCATCTAGAAAGTTTAAAGATATGAAATAAAAAAAGAAAACCGTTTTTGTTATTTACTAGAACGACTACAGACAATTACAGTTATTTATCTTTAGAGATTTAGGCCTCTTAACTTTTCACAACTGTATTCACTTAATCTTATTGTTTTATTGTGTCTAAGAGCCATTACAAATAGTAAATCACTAGGTGGCATAGCAGAATAAATAGACAGATTAGATTGCATCATGCATTGCTTGAAGGGTGATGGCAAAATTTGTTTGTTTTTTTTCATTTGTCTAATCTAATAAGTCTTTAATTTTTGCATTTTAGTTACTTTTGTTAAAAAAATATATCAACAAATAAAAACACACAAAAACTAAGTTTACCACTTACTATTTGCTTATCCCTGCTTATCTATTTGCTTATCTTAGTAATTTTGACTGACATTTATAACCATTTAACCATGAAACCACCTACTACAACTGAATTTACTAAGTGCATGTCCAGTAAATTATAAAATTTTTAATAAAAATTACAAGTCTGTTATACACACAAAATAAAAATTTTTTTGATTAAATATTTTAACTAAAAATTTGTTTATGAATGTATGAAGCCTTTATTCAGTCAGTTTGAGCGTGAGGAGATTTTCTTATTAAGAATAAAAATACAGTTTTTGTATTTCATTTGCTTAATCTCTTGAACCTCTTAAATAAATATCAAAGGTTTTTTGTTTTCAGTGAACCTTTATATTTTATCTGTTATATTCTCTACCTTAACACTAACTGTGTATGGCCTCAGTCAGTCTGACTAGTTTCGTAATCACTACATGAAAAAAAAAAGAAATATATCTAATTTACCCTTTCTCTTTTCTAGAATGACTACACATGGTAACACGATTACATACTATTTATTTTACAGCCAAAGCTAACAGAACTTTCATTTAATTTTAATGTTTTTAAAGTTGCACTTAAACTCTCCAGGAGTCCAGCAAAAGCCATTTATCCTAACAAGATAGCTTTCTGTAAACAACAGATCAAATTACAAGCTGCCACAATCAAATTACAATTTTATCAAGTGATGTGTATGTGTTGGATATTTGAATATTTTGAGAAAATTTGTTATTTAAATTGTTCTTCATTTAAATTTCCTTATGTAACCTAATAAGTTTCTAAATTTTACCTTTTAGTTACTTGCATAACAGTAAACAGAAATATAAATAAAAACAAGAAATTTATTCTTTACATCTGGAATCTTTTTTTTTTCACCATTTTTTATTCAAAAGACAGAAATCTTTGATGCTCACTAGGCCTACTTTTTTGGTTGTGTTCCTAAGATTTTTTATTTTTAATTCAAATATGCAATCTAGAATACAAAATATTGCTCTGCACAAAAATAGAGTATCCTAAAGCTAATATAATTTAACTGGCCCTCTAACTAAGCCATAATTAAAGTAATTCTGATAGCTGGTCAAGTTGAGCTTTAGGAATGTTAGAAAATATAACTGAGGTCTAATTTTTCAACATCTGATCAATTCTAGCCTCATAACATTCAGTAAATTGGAATCTTCTCTTTTTATTAATTTAGAAATAATTCAGTGGCAAATGTCAGAGAAAGTTATTGGCATTTTTTTTAAAAGACGAAATGTGCTAGGAGGGACATGGACTTTATTGCTTGTATCTCAATAGATTCCAATACACTATGCAATACATACTTTATTTAAATGAGAATCCCAATTCTGACCATTTACAAAATTAGAAGAAAAAAGGGAAAGGCAACTAGTGTGAACAAGTGTTACCCAATCATCCTTCATGAGTTTAAATCATGCAAAACATTAATGGCAGCTGGAATGTTTTCCCCGAAGAAAACATACCAGCACAATTGTATAAATGAGTTTATTGGGAAGATTTCTCTATAAAATGTATTGGCTCTTTTGTGAATATTTCTGTATTTTTGAAAAAAATCAATAGTTGTTTTGGATCCTTCTTATAGACATAAACATTACATTTTCTTATTGAAACCCTTGTTCCCTTATACTAACATTGTTGATAAACTCTGAAGATGGATGTCTTAGAGTTACAAGTCATAGAAACATTGTTCAGTAAGTAGGTTCCCTCTACATTTACGTGTTCTGTCATACTACTTTGAAAGTTGTCCTTTCTCTTGCTCGTTGTTTCAGACTAGCCATGATATGATATTGCATTTATGAAACTGAAGTCATCAAGTGATGCATCACTATCATTCTATTTCGCATGTGGAAATTCATAGAGTATTCTGCAAATATTGGAGGAAAGTAGCTTAATAAAATGATCTGTCAGTGTGTCACCTATAGTGTTTTAAGTAATCATTGACAGGCTGGAACCAGCTTGTCAGTGACTTCATGAATCTAAAAGAAATCTTAAGTGAGACTAAAGGAAAATGATTTCATGCAAGTAGAACTAGCTTAATTTGATGAAAATTAGGCAGTTCAATATATTAATAAAAGTATGCCTAATCTGTATATTGCAGCAATTGTTGTTGTTGAAAGCACAAAATAGTAAGTTTGGTAAACTTATTCTACCTGATGTCTATTGCTATCCATCACTTCAAAATATTTAATTTACAATAAATCAAGAACTCAGTGAATTTATAATAGTAAGAGTCTTTTTCTACAAAATGCTGAGCAGCAAGTATTTATCTTCTCAACTAAAAAAAAAGTTTGGAATTTGTCTAACACATTGCTCACGGGATTGAATTTTGCTGTCATTCACCTCCATGTACCAGTATTAGACTTTTAAAACCAGTCTTTTTCTTGAAAAAATCTATACGTGTGTGGTGATTCACATTTATAAATGAATTTTAATGTGTGAATTGAATGTTTGCATAAAGTGATGCATCATGATAGGGATATAGTATGGAAACATTTACTCTTTAACATTGTAAATATTTTCATTATATTAGCAGAGTTCTTCCTCTTCATCACACTATAAAGAGGAAGAAACTTGAAATGTTTTCAATTCAATTTTATTACCTTTGGCTGCCATCTTCTATGTTTGCTTCATGAATGATCACAATGGATTAAAAAACTATTACTATGCTGCTGAACACATTTTCGTGGATAACATGCTTCTGCTTCCCTCAGGAGTATCTAAAAGTCTAATGTGATGTGTAAATGAACATGACCTCTTATGAGAGCAACAAGTAGCACATGTAATTAGATATACATGTGTCAAACTAAAAGGACTAAAACAGATTTAGAAAATTTTACATGGAATTTACTAATTTTATAGCAACAACAAGAAATTAAGTCAACAAAAACAGACAATAATCAAGACCAAGTTTCCATACCATAACTATAGAAAGTATATTTTCCCAGACAGATTTAAAGACCATCAACTAACTAATGCATTAAATGAACTAAAATACAAGGTTAACCGAATCCTTAAGTATTATAGAAAAATAAAATTAATGTAAATAAATCAGAAAATTCCACTTTTTATGGTGTAAAACAGTCAAAAAATAATTATGCTAAAAGTAGAAAATAATAATATCACTATTGTTAAGAATAGATGTGACTGCGATAAAAAAAAAAAGATGAATATTGTAGATTATTTACCCATTTTGAAATCTTGGACTGTGGATTATATCCAACTGCTAAAAATAAAAAATAAATACTCTTAACCTGTCTTTTACTTAAATTTTAAAAAAGTTCTAATAACATAACTGAAGATTTAAAATTAGCTCTTGAATGTATTACTAATGACACCTTCGTATAACAGACAAAAATCTTTATGATTTGTTTATCTGTACAATCACTTATTCTAATTTCCATTTCAATAATATATATTGAGCATGTGTCAACAGATATTAGGATTGGAAATAGACATATTTAAGCAGTACCATCTAATTTGTTCATAATAAGAATTGAAACTGTCACATTAAATTCAGCTTTTAAACCATTACAGTTCTTGTTATGCTATATAGATGACAAATTTTCAGCCAATAACAATGAAACAAAAGCCAGTTAATACCTTGACCACTTGGGTTTATCACAAACTAACATAAGTCTCCTATACAACCACCTCATGATTCCTCATAAAAAAATTGGTATTTTATAGATCATGTAATACAGTGCTAAATGTATATGTACTAACAATGTTAACTTACTAAATTAAACTCGATGTCTATGGTCTTTTATTACCAATGGTAACTCGCACACAGACTTCAGTAGATCAAACCACTACACAGTTTTTTAAATCTTAGTAAGTAAGATCAATTGCAATAAAGATATATATTGTAGCTTGCCATATATATACTTCAAGTTTCTTCTTTTATAAAAAGATCTTGGGTTTTAATTTGAAAAACCCATTATTTTAATCATATCATTAGAATAACGTTCATGGATTATAATAATGTGCTTGAAAGTTATTTGTAATATTTCTTGTTATTATTGATGTATACTTATAGGGTTAGCTTATTTTAGTGCAATTAATTTGTATTTAGAAAAATTAAATTAGAAATTTAATAAAAGATGTCTTAGTATATACTTGGATGCTTTTACCATTCAGAAAACAGGAAACCTGATAAAATTAGTGTTTTCAAAGGTAAATCACTTCTTTAAAGATAGTATGCAGTATCCTCTGATATGGTGTCATAACTTGTGTTAAGAAAGATGGTCTTTTTTTTTAATGTATTCTGTCACTTGCTAATAGCTCTTAAAAAATTTTGTAAAGTTATTTTATACATGTACCATCCTTATAAAAAACAAATGTTTGGAACTTGTAGAAAATGTTATGTGAAAAGCTTAGTGAAACCCTCAAGAGTTTGGACCAAATGATGAAAAAAAAGAACGTGAAGAACTCAGGTAAATCACTTCATGCCATAACATAACTCTTAAGCTCCCTTTTTCTGTGTGTATTAAGTCAGTAGCAAGTTAACAGTTTTATAATTGTGTAAAATTAATATGTTAATTATTTTTAGGAGTTAAACCTTCATCAACATTCTTAAATTGGTATGCAATGGTAGCAATGAAATTAATGGTACCATAATATTTTATTGGCTACAACTACAAGTCTGTGTATGAAGTGCTGATGCAAAAGAATTTGAAGACAATTATTGTTAATAATAATACAGTTTTTTTATTAGTTGGACAAATGGCACTCAGTTTAATTTATTAAATTTCTGTTTGTCTTGCAAAAAATAAAATAATATATTGCTGCTGTTTGTACCTTTGTTTCCCCTTCTTTTTCCTCTTCAACTTTTACATAGAAAGGTTTGTGTATGCTTATTACTTGTATGATTACCAACTTAATTACATATTTGTAATTGCCTACAAACATGTATTATGATATATATTTTAGTACTTTACTGTTATGCAAATTACAGTTTAGTTTTCAACTCCCAAAAAATAGAGACCTTTAAAAGTAGAAGAATGCATTTCACCCAC